TCTCTCAGAGTCTCAGGTGCGGAACCTTTCCGTGACCCAGAGCCAGATGCAGAAGCACATCAAGTCGATCAGCAGGAACCTAGACAAGATGGCCAAGAGCCTCAGCCAGGCGAAAGACCCCAAGCTCTGCTTCGACGGCTCCTTGGGCTCCGACGCCTACGCCTCCGAGGCTTCGAGCAGGTCTGGTGCTAGCGACCGCACATCGAAGATTCCGCCTCTCGGCTCTTCAAGTCGACGAAAAAGATCGAAAAAACAGGCTGTGCTTTCAGCTTTTAGGGACCAAAAATCCCACGATGGCCCAAGGTCGAATCCCGGGATAGCCTGCGAAGCCGCGCAGAAGGCTGGGGCGACGCAGGAGGAGTCTTGCGACGGGAGCCTTGGCTCGGATTGAGGCTTGCGTCTACTCCAGAAGGGAGTCGGAATCAAGAAATAGCCGATCTCCTGAAATCTCAGGGTCAGGCTGCTAAACTTGGCCCCCCAACATCTTCAGTTTCGATGCCGCAGCATCACCACCACGAGTTACCGCAGTCTCCAGTCACCAGTCCCCAGTCACCGGTCACGAGCACCAGCGCCATCTTCATCTTCATCGTCGCCTTCGCCGCTTTGGCTTCAGCTTCATCTTCATCATCTCCCCCATTGTCATATGTCGGAATCGTGACATCGTCACGAAACTCACCGCCGCCGTCAACACGATCACGTCCACATCGTCGTTTTTCGTGTTCTCCTTCTGTCCGTTACGTCGCTGCCATCGTCATCAGCGCCACATCGAGTCAGCACAATCGCCATAAATATAGGAATAGCTTTTTCAGGCTACCGGACGATTAAAACTACATCCCACCACATCTGCGCCTACACGTAATCACGTACATCTTCCGCATCTATGATGGCCTGTGACGCTATTCTTTACGCATACACTCAAATCCTAGCAGACCTTGCAGTTTTGACAGGTCACTTCTACCCAGAAGTGGCTCAGCATCTGCAGGAGCTCGACAACATCTCCGTGTATCACAGCCGGCTTCGACGAGAGTATCCGGGAGTTAGATGTCTTGATGGCAAACCTCAGGCGTGGTGATGCGTGTTGGGTAGGGCTTCTAGGGAGCCGGGACTCATGAAAATCAGCACAGCTTTGGTCTGTGTGTCGTGCGAGCTTAAGTCCTCCCAGTCCCTGGAAATTATGATCAAGGCCAGGGACGCCCTTCGAAGAAAAAAGCCCCCAAAGTCCAAATGCGAAGCCTGTCCAGCATGCGAGGCAGCAGCTGGAATCCGTTCGGAGTGGCTTCATCGCAAGCCTCGGCACCGACGCCCCCGCGCATCCTCAGGAGCCACGAGAGCACCCCAAGCGTCAGCTCACAGCAAGACTACCCTGACGTGCGATTTGCGGCTTCATAGCGCTTGAGCTCCAAAAGGAGAGGATGTGCTCTCCCAATCCTTTCAGCACTAACCTCAAACCTGTTTCGGGCCGCGGAAGGAAGCGCCAGGGTCTGAAGCAGAGCCCGTAGTTGTGGACGTGTGGCCCGGTCGCAGCAGTGATCAGGTCGAGGGGTTTGAGCACGTGCAGGCTTTTGAACTAAGACCTGCATTCAAGGCTCAGGCCTCAGACCGTAGGACCGTAGGACCCAGGAGGGTAGGTGCATGGCAGAGGCTTGGAGAGTTGCAGGGCTCGCTTCGAGGTCGCAGGGGACTGGGGCCTGGTGGTCGGCCTTTCCACAGGGTCGTACAGGGGTGCGCGTTAGATCATTTCTGCTATCCCTCCGGTCTCTGCCGTTTCAAAACAGAGGCATGAAATTAACTTCGCTTGATGAGGCGGATGTGCATGTTTTTGTGAGACCTAACCTTGCAATCCGGAGTCGAAGCCAGAAGAATGCCAGAAGTCGATTTTTCAGGTTGCTGAATCAACCAAGGTTTTTGCCCGAGCCCGGCAAAGGGCCATTTTGCGAAGAAAGCCTGGTTCGTCGCTTGCATCCTGGCTGCGCATGGTGCAGGGAACAACGCCTTGTAGGGAAACCAGTCGGCTCGAAACCCCTCGTGGTTCGCCAAAGGCAAGTCTCAAGCTTTTGGGGATTAGCATCGTTTGGTACAAGGTGCTGGGGCAACATATTTCTAGAGATGGAGGTCGAGCAAGACCCAGTCGTTGGCTTGCTAATAGTTCACATGACGCGGAGGGTTCCCTGTTCGCCCTAGGCAGTTTTCTGCCTGTGAGCATCTTGTGATGCAGGTTTCGTAGTACTACTGCTACGACGACTGTGGCTACTGCTGCAGGTTATGGTGTCGACCAGGACCAGCTTTGCTAATCTGCTGACATTGCTGCAGCTAGGCTACTTGCACAACCCTATAGCCCGCCTGCGTCGACCATCTGCGACCCCGCGCGCTTCGAGGTACGATCTTCCAAGAGAGGAGCCGGGCCATGCCCCATCCCCCGCGGCCAGAGCACGTTGGGGGAGGGGTGCAGAGCATGTGAACATATAGTTTGAAGGCTTCGGAATGCTTGCCTTGTGTAGAGACAAGCGGAATTCCGATTTGTCTTGGTATTTTATTGGTATTACTTTCCAACGTCCTACTAGCCCATTTACCTTTGACCTTACGTTGGTGCTTTCCTCAGTTTGTGCAGCGTCGGTAGCTGATCGTCGCTTTTCAACGTTTCAGTCTGCCCAGTCGCCTCAGTAGCGTCGTCCGCCTGCGTCAAGAAGATGCTGGATGATGGGCTCTTATAACCGTTTATGGCATTCCAAACAGTTTTGCGCCCTGCTAATTGGGCGGCTGTTCCATGAACAAGGTTCCCCAAGACCTCCTTGCGAAGGCTTTTGATGATGTGTTACAAGGCTGGAGGGCTTGTTGTTAAGGTTCGTTGAGAGACACTGGGTCTTTCGTTGTTGGGAGGCGCGGGGTCCTAAATGGTGTTTCTGGAGATGAGCGGTCCTGGCATTACACAAGGCACTTCCGCAGATGCCCTATAAGCAATTGCAAAAGGACTGCAATCTTGAGAAACTCTCCCAAACTAGACATTTTAGATATTTTACGCCTGCTGCTTCGCCGTCGCGGGAGGCACGGACAGGCAGGTCTTCCAACGAATCGAGCACTGACCATCTTTGCATGAGTGGTCAGACCGACTGAATCGGTGAGGCACTGCTACCCGATCTCAGAGAGCCAGTGCCTAAAGCATCCATCTGAGATTATATGACCTTCCTGTAGCCAGACTATACCCTACGCAGCCTCAAGCCCGAACGAGCCGGAGTGGGCTGTAGTCGAGGAAACTTCCTGGGACAGCGCTCGGGAGATTTTCCGACAACAGGTTTAGGGCTTGTGCGAACTTGGGGCATTGAATCAACAGTCCAGGCTAGGTTTGGGGGTAGACCGCCCGGACAGTGCCACACCGAAAGTCGCTTTCCAGATCTTCTCAACGACTTCTTGAGAGCTCATGTGGGGGAGTTGTTCTAGCATAACCTCCATCAGTAACCCGCTCCCGCACAGAACACCTTGCGCGACGTGACTCTACAATCGCTCAGATATCAGTACGCTGTACACGGGGCGTTGAAGAACACTCCCCACCTGTCGGCAGCGGCTGAGGGCAAGCATGACTTCGCAAGTGGAGAGAAGTGCAGAAAAATGAGAAATGCTTGGGAGGGGCTCGGATCCCAGAGCTTAGGAGCACACTATATTGTCAACTTTGTTATATTGCATTTCATGGTATTAAAATCCATTTTCATTGAGTTAAAGTATGTTAACGAATGAATATATGTATATGTACACATATATATATATCTATATATACACATACATAATGTGTATATATATATACATAGTATGTATGTATGCATGTATATATATATATATATATATATAATTACATGTGTGGGCCTGGGCTTCGAGGCTCAAAGCCTCACGGCGTCCCTCAGCGAAGCCTCGGCTTCAGTGTAGATCCCATAGCCCTACGCATAAACGTGAAACCCTTAAACCCTTAAATCCGTAGATCTCAGCAGCTCCTGCACCCTGATCCCTAAACCCCTCGATCCCAATCCCAGAACTCCTGTCCTGGACCTTATAAAAAGCCAATGGCCAAAAGTCCTCGATGCAGGTGTTAGACGAGCCCTACTCACGTTTTCCGCTGTTAGTGACTGTTATGTTTTTGTGATTGGTATTGTGCCTGGTTTTACGTTATGATGATGTTTATTACTGTCATTGTTCGTGTTATCAGTTATTACTACGACTATACTACTGCTACTACGACGACTACTACTACTGCTACTGCTACTGCTACTGCTACTGCTACTGCTACTGCTACTGCTACTGCTACTGCTACTGCTACTGCTACTGCTACTGCTACTGCTACCGCTGCTCCTGCTACTGCCACTGCCACTGCCACTGCCACTGCCGCTGCCGCTGCCGCTGCCGCTGCCGCTGCTACTGCTACTGCTACTGCTACTGCTACTGCCGCTGCTGCTGCTACTATGACGACGACGACTACTGCTACTGATACGACGGCTAGCACCACTTGCACCACTACCACCACTACCCACTACTACAAAATACTGCAACTACTACCGCTACTACCGCTGCTGCTACTACTACTACTACTACCACCACCACTACCACTACCACTAGCACTAGCACTAGCACTAGCACTAGGACCACCACCACCACCACCACCACAACCAGTACCACTACTGCATCAGTATCACTATCACTATCGCCACGACGACGACGACTACTACTACTGCGACTAAAAACAATACTAGTACTGCGAGTAATACTAGTACTAGTCGTACTACTAGTACTACAAGTACAACTAGTACTCTACCAGTACTCTACTAGTATTCTGCCAGTACTACTAGTACTACACGAGTACTTCTCTACCACGACTACCACGACTACCACGACTACCACGACTACCACGACTACTACGACTACCACTACCATTTGCCTCGGACATGTTTCGGAGAGTTTCAGAGAGAGATACAGTTTCCAGGAAGACCTTTCTATAGCATCTGCGGCATCTTGTCCAGGTGAAGACGATCGTCGGCGAAATGGCCGCAGACCAGCGACAAGAGGCTGACTCCACTCCATCTCAGGGTGTTGAGCACTCGATTCAGAGTGGGTACGGATGGTTTCAGGACCTTGGGTGACTTGCCAGCCAGCGTTCAACTCTCGACGTGCAGGTTGAGAGGGGGTTTGATGCCCTTGGCAGAAGCGAAGCAGCATGACTGGGATCGCCAACTCAAGCACTTGCAGCCAAGTGCGCCTGCCAGAACCGCCACCGTTCACTAAGTGGAAGAGGTGGCAGAATCGGAGGTGTTCGGCATCAATAGCAGTTGTTTACAAACACCAGTCGTGCTTGGAAGCAGAATGCCCAACAACAAGAAGCAGTGAAGGCAGCCACGACGAGGAGATGTACAGACAAGCTACAGACAAGGAATGCCAGTGATGCTAGTGGTGGCGGTGGAAACTTTTGAAACGGAACGCACCCGTGAGGTCTGGGTGTGCCAAACTGCCAAAAGTCAATGAACAAATATTCTAGCGGCACTGATTAGTTTGAGCGGCAAGATCTAGGTTACTCGTCAGGCACCGTGACGACAATGGCCCTTAGCCATATCTGTGGCTACAGCGTTTCAGTGTTTTCCGCTCTCAACGCTTTCATTCGTGTATGTCGAATATTTTGTTTACTTCCGCATCCACGTCAGTGCTACCGCGTACTGGCATTCTTCGACCTTTGACGTGCAGTCGCAGCGCCTGATTGCACAGCCGGCGAGCTTGCTAACTGCTAGGGTGCTCTTATCGCCACAGCAGCGGCATCACCATCATCCTCACCATCCTTCTGCCGTATCCTCGTCATCTTCTCGTGTTCAGCACCTTTGTCTCCTGCTATTCCAATTTTCTTCGTCTTCTTCCCTTCTGAATTGCTTGTTTTCCATGCTGGGAGCCTGCTCGCTGTGTTTTTCTTCAGAGGCCGTTGATGCCTTCCAGAACGACCCGGCCGTCTCCGTGCTCATCCTCAGCCTCCAGGCCACCAGCTCTTCAGATTCGGGGTTGGTTCGGTGGACGATGTCAGATATACCTTGGAAGGACCACGTGGGAAGTTGGGGACAAAACGCCGAACTCAAGGCATTTTGATAGGCCCGCAGCCGCAAAACTGCAACATCTTACGTTCAAACCACGAAACTCTGCAGTGATGTCTATCAATGTCAAGACTTCCTGCGAAAACGCTGCCTCGCGCGCCCGAGGCAGGCGGAGTTGGGCTTAATCTGACGGCTGCGACGCACGTCATCCACTTCGACAGCCCCTGGCAGAGCACAGGCACGTAGTCGTAGTCATCATTGTAAGCTGCATTTACGGCATACCTGCGCCAGGCTCTATACTCTTTTTTTTGTTTTCTGTCTCTCTCTCTCTCTCTCGCTATCTCGTGCCATGTGTTGGTAGATGTTCATGCTAAGCTTTTCCTCGATCACTGGTTATGCTACATAGCCGCAGCCTTTTGCTGCTATCTGCCCCCTCGTCCATAGCTTTCTCAGATCCCGACAACTACCAAGCGGTGCTGGTGACATTGCCGTGCCCAGAGCCTCTCGCCATCATCATGACTTTAAAACTTTAGGGCTATATATCAGCTTCGCCCTCATGAGCCCTTTCACGACACTTGCATCAGTAGCAAAAGTACCACGGCCACAATCGCCGCCTGCAGCCTGCAGCCCCCAGTACCCCGAGCATCCCGAGCACCCGCACCACGTCCGCCACGTCCACCACGTCCACCACGTCCACCACGTCCACTACCACCATCACACTATCTTTTGATAGTATCATCGTTCACCCGATGTTTCCCGAGCCAACAATAGCGAACACCTCCGAACGATGCTCAATCACAACGGACCCAAGGATGCTACAACCCAGCTGCTTGGCGAGCAATGAAGCGGTGTTTTCAGCCAACCAAGTCAATGCATACTCCGACCTTTCAAGAGCTGAAAACTGCACCAATGCTGAGGCTAAAGAAGCACAAGCAACGGACCGCGCTCATCGAATCGGCCAGGTGCCCTCAAGCTTCGGGATGTTTTGGACCGGAGTTTGCCATTTGTGCGATATTTTCGAGCGAACCATTAGACAACGTACCAACCGGGTGCTCTTCGTCTAACAGGGAAGCACATCGATTGACCCTCTCCAGAGGCCCTTCTTTGCAAGACGGTGTTGTCGAACCGGTGTGGTGCAATGGCTATGAATTGCTATGCCGCTGTCTTTCATGGTGGGTATGCGCTTCATATATCTGCTGCTATAGTCTTAAGCCCCTGCTGATGGCGCAGTTTACCCTTTAGCATCCCTTTAGCTCTTCCAGCATTTGCTGTTCTGATTTCATGATGAGTCTGCCAGAGAGAGAGAGAGAGAGAGAGAGAGAGAGAGAGAGAGAGAGAGAGAGAGAGAGAGAGAGAGAGAGAGAGAGAGAGAGAGAGAGAGAGAGAGAGAGAGAGAGAGCGGGAGAGAGAGATGGAGAGAGAGAGAGAGAGAGAGAGAAAAAACAAAAAACGCCGCCCTCCCTGCAGACACGCACCGTCTTCGTCCATCGCCTCATCACGAAGGCAGGGACTGAACCGCCCTAAATGGCACTAATCAGAAGCCGTGGAGAGCGCTAGAAGGCAGAGACCTCGCCGCAAATATCCGCTTCAATCCAGAGTGGACGAGTGACCCGCAGACCTGTGAGTTACAACAGGGGCTGAAATTGTTACCTATACTAGTTTGGGGGTTCCTTATTCTAATTACGGTATAATGGGCCCCAAAAAACCCTATTCTAAAAAGTAAGGCCGCCCCTATATGATCCTGCCTAGGGCACCTTCGAGGAAAGGCTCCATGACATCATGGTTGCGACACCTGGGCAGAAGGATGTTTCAGATTCGAATGGTGGTTTGTGAACACCACCCCTCCAGTTGCAAAAGGGTGCAGCCAAGGCCGGCCGTTTGGCATTTTCCTGCATTTTGGCTCAGGGTCATCAAAACTAAAACTGGCATTAGCAACAACACTATTCAACGACATTAGCACCTTCCAGGCAACAACCAAGTCCTTGTGAAATTTGAAACTCCCAGATGCAAGCAAGGCCAAGCCCCCAAGCCCCAAGTGCCAGAGCCCGCCTCGGAAGCTCATCCCCAAACCCTTGAAAGATCTTGTCCCTCATGTTATGGTAGCAATAGTGGAGGCACCAGACTTGCCGGAGCGTCTTAGCTGCTGGGTGTGAGTGCGAGGCCCGTAACCCCGACCATAAACTCTGAAACCCTAAAACACAACCTGGTGGGGATTGTCCGGGTGTCAGAGCCGAACCAGACCGAGCATGTGGGGTGCCGGGAAAAATTCCCAGACCGAGGAAGCAAAAGCTTTCCGACCTGACCATCACGGGTGGTGAAGGCCAGGACTGGAGAAATCCCTAAAACAGAAGTCTGAATAACTACCTATGTGACCCCTTCGGGTTCCGTAGCACATGCATGGTGTAATATACTAGGAAGCCCTGGTCTAGTATTGAGGCCCCTTTGATGTGGTGGTATTTAGGCATCTATATCACGTTTGCGGCCTCAGAGCGGAAGAATTCGATTTGCTTCGTAGATTCAACATAGTGCCGCCTCCATTCTACGCGAATTGAGATCGCGCTCATACTTATTCTGTTTCCTGTAGCCATGCGGCTCTGCTATGTTGGGGCCACGAAGGAGAGAATTGTTTTGTTTGGCCAAGTTGCTTCTGCTTCCGGATCCATTCGAACCTCGCCAGCTCCTGCACACCCCAAACTTTCAATGCTGAACATCCAGTCAGCCATTAGACTCATGCCAGGCCCAAAACACGACCTAATCATAGTCCGTCTCTGCTTCATGTTGGAGGTTGGATCGCCGATCTCAACAATGACGAGCTCAGGGAGCGGCGCTTCAGGGATCTGAGTTGATTGTTTGTTTGGGGAAACAGCTCCTTGCATCACACCACTACTACCACCACCAACAACTACTACCACTGCCCCGCCCTACCACTACCACTACCACTCCCACTGCCACTGCCACTACCACCACCACTACTACCACTACGACTACGACTACGACGACTACTACTAGTACTAGTACTAGTACTAGTACTAGTACTAGTACTAGTACTAGTACTAGTACTAGTACTAGTACTACTAGTACTAGTACTACTACTACTACTACTACTACTACTACTACTACTACTACTACTACTACTAGGCCTTCCCCCCTGGTGCGACGCCGGTCGCTGAGTTCGTGGATGTACAACATGCGCTAGACCATGGACGTCATTAGGTTTTGGACATGGATGCTCTCCAAACCAAAATGCGCTAGACCATGGACGTCATTAGGTTTTGGACATGGGTGCTCTCCAAACCAAAATGCGCTAGACCATGGACGTCATTAGGTTTTGGACATGGATGCTCTCCAAACCAAAATGCGCTAGACCATGGACGTCATTAGGTTTTGGACGTGGATGCTCTCCAAACCAAAATGCGCTAGAACATGGACGCCATTAGGTTTTGGACATGGATGCTCTCCAAACCCAAATGCGCTAGACCATGGACGTCATTAGGTTTTGGACATGGATGCTCTCCAAACCGAAATGCGCTAGACCATGGACGTCATTAGGTTTTGGACATGGATGCTCTCCAAACCAAAATGCGCTAGACCATGGACGTCATTAGGTTTTGGACATGGATGCTCTCCAAACCAACGATTTGAATGAAAATCATGATCAAAATGAGGCCCAAAACACCTTGATTCTGATCGCTAGGTTTTGGGCACGAAAATCGAGACACCCAAAAACAGTAAAAACACATGAAATTCGCAAAGACAAGTGCTGTAAATACCAGCATTTTCGGGTGCGAGATTGATGAACAATGTTAGAAAATATGATAAAAATACACACGAGACCAGGAACAGTTGCCACTTTCGATAACTGCGGAAAAAAAGTGCTGTAAAACACAGCATTTCCGACCACAGCAAGTCCCAAAAATAAGAGGTTTGGGCGTCGCACCGGGGGGGGAAACACTACTACTACTACTACTACTACTACTACTACTACTACTATTACTACTACTACTACTACTACTACTACTACTACTACTACTACTGCTACTGCTACTGCTACTGCTACTGCTACTGCTACTGCTACTGCTACTGCTACTGCTACTACTACTACTACTACTACTACTACTACTACTACTACTACTACTACTCCTCCTACTCCTGCTCCTACTCCTACTGGTACTGGTACTACGACTACGACTACGCTCCTGCCTCTGCCGATGCCCTGCCCGAACCCGTGCCCCTGACCCCAACGACGACAACTACTCCAAGACTGCGACTTGCATCGCTTGTGGAGGCTTGGAGGCGGAACTGAAATGCCCTCGATCTTGCCACAGTTTGCAAGGTTCCCACTGGTGATCATGAAAAGCGGCAGTTCTGAAGAAAGTTTGGTGGCTAATGATGGGTTTTGTTTCATCTGCTTGTGTCACAAAAGGTCCACTGATTTAGGTCAGACACGAAGTTTTTTGTTGCCTTGCAGGAGCTGTTCGAGCTAAGTGGCGAGAGAGCCGATGGTCCCACGGTCAAGCGCCGGAAGCGCGCGGAGGCAGCGTTGAAGGTCGAGGACTAGATCTTGTAAGGACCCGGCAGATGAATGGAAAGATCGCTCAAGGTGCTTGAAGGGACCAGATTTCTGATAGGATTCTATGTGCTGTGGCCCAGCTCACGCTGGAGTAGTTGCAAGGTTAGCTTCCAGGTCCTGGGGATGGCCTCTCTTTGAAAATCAGGGTTTCCGATCATGATTCGTCGATGCCTCAAAAACAAAGTAGGGCTCGCCGTCAGCTTCAGACCGAGCCTGGGAGGCCCAAGATCACGACGGCCGTGCCGGGCGGGCTGGCATGAACGCCATGGATGTTGATGGCGTTTCACATCAGGCAACGAACATCAGTGAACTTTGCAGGCACAAAGGTCCCAGGTGTGAGATTATTCCATGCTTGACAGTCATTCGTTGCATGTTTGAGAATCCCCCATACTTCACAGCAATCCGTTGCATGCATTAGCAGTCTTAGCATTGGTTAGCTGTTAGCTTTTGTTGCTTGAATAGTTGTTGCGCCATGATGTCGATGGTTATTGATGTCAGCACTCTTCCTGTTTGCATTAGGGCCACGATCTGATTCACGTATGTTACCAAGTTGAACAATGAGGTCGATTTCTCGTGGTGCATCGGCGGTTATGGCCAGAGGCTAAAGTCTCATTACTCGAACCTTGTTGTTCCAGAGCCTGCAAGCAGAATGGTTTTATTTACCAGTTCTAGGTTCCAAGGCTCTCAGGCAGCGGCTTGGCGCAAACTTGGCAAACACCCGGATGAACACTGGCTCATGCAAATCTTATGTAAGCCTTTCAATCCTTTGATTGACCATCGGCCAGTCGCTTGAGGTAAGAGTTTGTCTGTCTAACGTCCAAGGCACCATATCGCAAATTGCATGTCATGATGGGGCCGTGCAATCACATTTTCCCATGCGCCCCTGTGAAGAGGTGCCAATGTGAGTGGCCAATGAAGCGCAGCTCCGACAAAGCGCGCATGACAGCGCATGTCTCCGGCTTGCACTCCGGTGCCCCACACTCTCAAGTCATGACCCCCGAACCCAAGTCTTGAACTCCTCAACGCACAGCCTCGCGGAGGAAGCCGGCTTCGACGCCCGAGGCCTCAATGTCTCGATTTTCGATGTATGCGTGGGTTAAGCAGGGGGGGTGAGCTGCTTCAGCCGGCCGACACACGAAGTTGAAGTGTGGGGCGCATGAAAATCATGCCCCCAGGCTCCAGGAAGATGTCTCAGTGATCCGAGATAAGTCGGCGACTGTTGAAGCAGCTTTGCCTAGAGCCTCCTGGTGGTCAAAGGGGACCCAGTCCGCCTTCGGGGAACTGCGGGACTGGCTCAGTGCAGACTTCGGGGGAAAACCAAGCCCAGAGCCGCTCAAAAGCAAAGAGCAGAAGTCGACCCATGCACAGTTACCGATAGAACTGGTAATGCAGCGACTACTAGTGAAGACTGACGGAACCAGGACGAGCCTGTGAGGCGTAGGCGTGGTTTTGAAGCGGCCGCGCAGTGGACCTTTCCTGTCTTCGTAGGCTGCGTGCAAACGTGGGCACTCCGGCATTTGGTCAGAAGGGAAATCAACCGTGCTTTCAGACCCCTACTTACAAGTGAAGCCACAGACCGTCGCGGGAGAGCCCATGCCGACGCAGAGATGTAGGTGCCCTTGCTGTCCGTTCGACAGGCTGCGTGCCTGCTGGCAAGGGAAAAGGAGCAAAACTGCTGGCTGTGCGCAAGTGCCACCGGCAAGCCCTGCAACCTTGATTCTATTCCTCAGGATTCTCGAAACTGGAACATGGCCGCACGATCGCTAGTCATGGCGACATAATCCGCAAACGAGCGCGAGCAGTCAATAGCAAATGCCGGACTCCAAGGCCGTGAGCTTCGAGGAAGAAAGGCAACAGCTGCAGGCAGGAAGGAGGGTGAAGTATGGCTTCTCTATTGCGCTAGACTCACATACAAAGACAGCAGCAGCGGAAGCAGTGGCAGTGCCGACAGCAACGACACTGGCTCAAACTTCACAAGGTGTCCGTGGTACCCGCCAAGCCAATTAGCCTTGAGATTTTGCATGTGCCCCTGGATGTTCACATGTTTACCGCGCCTCTTTCTGAAGCTTTTGTTCATACCACTTGTAGTGGTTGGACATATTCGGAGCCCCAAACTCCTGCGACAGCCTTGGGAACTAGGATCTTGCACGCACGGTTCCGGTGGGACATAATACATAAGTTGTGCTCGAGCTTGTAAGAGGGTCTTTCTGCAGACATCGGCTTTGGCAATCCTTTTAGCTTCAGCATGGGGTGCGCACCTGCGTGTCATGACTTGAAGAAAGAGCTTTAGTCAAGCGAAATCTTCGGTGCTGCACATTCGATAGACCATGAACTGCTGAATGGTATGATTTGCACCTCTATCAGTTGCGAAGCCACTTCAGCTTGTTCGACTCCCATTTCTTGATTCAGCCCATCGTTGCAGGCAGGATAGGCGCAATCCCGGAAAACTGTGGATACGGGCTCGGCTGAATTCCAATCTGGAAGTGCGAGTGTGCTTGGGTTTCCGACGGGCTACATCATATGATAGATTCAAGTTGCAGCTGGGAACTGGGAAGCCCAAGCAAAGCGAAGCGAAGCCCTATTCGGACCTAAACTCAGAAATCCTAAATCCGACACCCTAAACCTAAGTGCCAATTACGTGTTAACGAAGGACCAGGATTGCTACAGACCTTGCCAGGCTTTGTCCGAGTGTGAGTGTCAAAAAAAACCCAAACCTTGGCGGTAGAGGAAAGGGCGATTAAAAAACCTAAACCTTGTGGTTTTGCAGTTCTGTTCTGTTTCTGGCTGGACAGGCAAAGCTGGAGGATGTCCAGCGGGAGGTGGAGATCTAAGCAGTACATGCCAGGGCAATACGCCACTATGTCGCCGGCCTTGTGCTTTTGTCTGAAGCATACACATAAAGGACGGAAGAGTGACGACACGCTCCTGAAGCTAGCTTACAGTGGAATCCAAGAATGATGGCAGTCTTTTTTTAAATTTTTGGCATTCAACATCGGACAACGCACAGTTTTGCAGCTGGCCGTGGGCTAGCACCCCCCACTGCAAGCCAACACTCAATCCTTTCACGCATGACGGGAGCTTTGGCGAGGCACTCCGGCTGCAGGAGACGTAGGATTTGGAGGTGGTACTTGCGGCATATCCGAGGTATCTTTCGGGTGTAAGAGTTAGGTCACAGACTCTGTCGGGAAGGGGGCAGATGATTCCGGATCGGACGGTTGGAAATAGCGGCTTCTTGAACGTGGCTACTCTAACTCCGCTGCAATCGTGCCCTTCAGATGGTCAAACGCAGCGAGAAAATGGAGGTTGGATTCTTACACGACCAACCTCAATGAGCCCAGGTGCAGCAAATAGAGCGCGACTACACCCAAAAGCTTGTGGGTGGCCCCAGTATAACGTCTGCTTGAGGTTTGAAGAGTGCAAGTAGGAGTGATTCCAAATCTTGTTTGTGGTTCCTTGTCCCCAGACCCTGTTCTAGTTGGTACAGTCCCGGTTTTGGATCTTGTGTTGACTTGAGGGTCGCCCGCCAAAAACTAAGGCGAAGGCGCCGCAAACCCCTGAATCATATGGGTAAGCCTACCTGCGACTAGGAGTTCTTCAAAACCAGAAACCCGCCCACCCCTGAAAAATACTCGCAGCACGTCGAAGACTTTAATGAACTCCTTATTATACAGTCCTTCTCAAGTAATGTAATTTTAACGCTACGCCGCCCGCCTCGGCTCTGTAGTGGCAGGGGTTGAGGCCTTCCAGCCATGCCGCCCGGAGCAAGAAAAAACAACACAGAAAGAGCCTGAAAAGAAAGACAGGCAGTGGATTGACGACGCAAAAGCCAAAGCGGGGGCGAGGAAGACGAAACGAGGGCGGGGAGAGGAGGGGGGGAGGGGGGGGGGGGGGAGGGGGGGAGGGGGGAGGGGGGGGGGAGGGGGGGGGAGGGGGGAGGGGGGAGGGGGGGGGGGGCGGGAAGGGGGACGGGGGGGTGGAGGAAAAAAAGAGGGGGGAGGAGGCCCGCAAATCAAAGAAAATGAGGGGAGGCCGGGCAAGGGGGTGGCAAACGAGCGCAAAAACAGGGTGTCACCAAACATAACGCCTGGGCCTGTGGCCTCGGCGGATTAAGCATAAAAACATCCACGACATCCTACTTCGTGCTCTGCTCGAATCTCGGCGGTGTTGTTTCAACGCATCGGTTGTTTTTTGTTCAAGTTGTTTTCGCGAGGTGCCGTGCTCGCTTGAGCATCGTCACGCCGTGTTGATGAATGTCTGCTTCGTATATATGATCCGATGCTCAACCAAATATACTGTTTCATACTCTCATCAAACATCGAACATTTTGGAATTGGACAGAATAAGATCAACATGACAAATCCTATCTTGTAGCCTTGAATATGAGCAGAGTTTGGCGCGAGGCATATTCGATTACGTGGAAGGTGTGGGTTCTAGGCGTTGCAGTAACCACTCCGTTTGGGGCACAAGACTTTGCTTGCGACATCTCGCATTTCTCAGCATATATCCCGTCATGGGGCGAGCTGCGTCCCCGGGCTCCAGATGCAGCACCATCGGTCGATGACAATCCTAATCCGAACACTGCTGCGAGCAGAAACAGGTAGTAGGAGCATGGCGCTGAATCATACGTAAGAACAACAATCCCAGCAATCCCAGGCCTTGCTAGCGAACCCTACAGCCTCGAGCCTCAGTCCACTAGAGCTAAACTATGCTAAACCTACCCATGGTCTCCGCGTTTAGTTCCTTCCGCCTTGCTCTCTTGTCGGAGCAATTCATGCCACTTAAGCGTAAGGGCCCTGTGCCCAAAATTCCGCAGAAGTCCCGAAGCCCCTTCGGGCCCGCAGCCGAAATCCTACGTCCCTAAAAGCCAGAAACATCCCAAAGCCTCAACCTTCCTCCCCCTTTCGGGCGCAACATCTGCGGCTGCCGATGGCCACGGAAGCGGCCAGCGTGAGACTGGAGACTCTCAGGGTTGGGGCTTCTAGGGTTCAGTCTTTTTAATGTACAATTGCGTGTCCGTGTTCACAGCTGGTGCTCCAATTCATAACCAGCGGTTCCAGTTACTGCCAGACACCTTGCTGCAAGAATAAAAATGATATGATGACGATGCTGTCAGCGTTTCGCACTGCACGCTTGTCGACGCCTCCGGAGGACACCTCCTCCGTGACGTGTCGCCGGCTCGGCAGCTGTTGAGTGTTTTCCGCCGGTTTCTGTGCGCAGCTTGCACGGGGTCAGCAAAGCTGAGTTTCGGAATCTTTGGGGTGATGGAGCCAGAAGCCCAACAGAAGATGTTTGGCGGTTCTTTGAGCGTTGCTGGCAAGTCGCAGCCCAGAATTTGCGAGGTCGTGCGAGCGGCCTGGTTCCCAGCTGCCAGTACTCAAGCATAGTCCCCCCCAAGAACGCCCTCAACGTCCCAAGCACGAGAGTCTAAAAGCCCCACCAACCTCGCCTGACACCTTCGAGTGCGAGTGCAAATCAGGGTTCAGTCGGAGAGTTGCGGACCCCACAGCGTCGAAGGCGCATGTAGCCAAGGCGGTGCGGTGCTGGCAGTGGAATGGGATCCAAAGGCGCACCTGCACTCAGATGTTCAAAGATCCAGGGCTTAGGTCGAGGACGCTTGTCCTGGAATTGATCTCGTAAGACTTTGTGAGGGGCTCGTGCTAGCAGCAAAACCATCAGTCATCACTGTCAAGTTCTCGTCTCTAGTTGCAGCATGTTGCAGCATGGCAGTTACGTTACGATGCTTGTGGGCGTGATTTCATTTTGCATGATTCCGGCGGGGGGCTCCAGGCCGCCAAGGCCAAATCAATTTAGCACCATAAACGCTAAGTCCCGGTGCCTCCCATGGCATTGTTTCCTGAGCTCGAACCGCACGACCTCGGCCAAGTTGTCGAGCCTCCTTGCTACCAGCAGAAAGTTCCGCCTGAGCATTACACAGGAATTCATGCGGTTGAACTTTGTGATGGCTTGGACTCGCCAGAGCCTGTGAAATCACCCAGTTCGCCCCAAGCGAGCCTGGACGGCGACAAGTGGATGGTGGACCTTGTAGCCAGCATGGAGCCGACCAGGGCCGAAATTATTCGGGGCGTCCCCGTGCACTGTGCTTTGCGGGGCTGCGGGCAGGCGATGCGTGGGAGGCAACTACGAGGACAACACCAACTCAGCCGTGCCACAACCTGCATCGATGAGTTTTGGTCCCACAGCTGGCACACATCCGCCTGGATGAAGTATGTCACTGCGTGGTACTTGAACTGTGCTGCTGTCGCGGCTGCCTTCGGCATGGGGGGAGCCCTCCTGGGCTTCGTGCTGCGTGCTGTCGGAGTCCTGCCTGCCACTCTCGACGGTGTCTTCTGCGACTCGCAGTGGAGTGTGTTGAGTGGGGTGATCTTCTTCTGCGCATCCTTTATGTTGTGGCGGGTACGAAGGCTCGTGTTCCTGGACATGCTCTGCATAAACCAGGAGGACGAAGGTTTGAAGGGCGAGGCCATGATCAGCATGGGTGCAATCTTGAAAAGCTCAGCATCAATGCTGGTATTGTGGGATCCGAGTTGGGTACAGATACTTGGCTCTCTTCTGGTTGACCGTTTGCATTTCGTTTGTTAATAGTCAGGCTGCGATTCTATCTGTTTATACTGTAGCGTTGTAGGTATTTTCATAGTAAGGTTGTTTCTTTGGCTTCCTGCCGCGGTTACACAACATACGAAAACATACCAGTAACGCGAAAACACACAGGCATTGCTTGGTGTTGTTTAGTATGTTTCAGCATATTTTGGTAAATTTTAATATGTTGATGGTATTTGGGGTACGTTGATGGTATTTTTCGATATGGGGGATGGTATATGTTTGGTATGTTTCTGTATGTTATATAGCATCATAAGTAACCACCGTTCTACGAGAATACCCTGGTTGCTTGATTGACTAACTGTGACTAACTCTCAGAAGGGATTCGACGGCCGTCTAAGGAGATTCTGGTGTGTTTTCGAGCTGGCCTCGTTCCTTCATAGCCAAAAATGCGGAGCAACAACAAGCAAGCATTTGAGCATTCGACCAAATCTCATGGGACCGGTTCTGCTGACAGGAAAGGCTGGCTTGATTGCTTTACTTGGTTTATGGCCAATCTGTTTAGAACTATTCGGGAGGAGCATCATGGTGATGGCGTTGACGATATCGACAGGGCTGTTGCCGTGTTTCCTCTGTCTTGCCCACATTGGCCGAACTTTCTGTTGCAGCCTGGACACGCTGCAGCAACAACTCGCCAAGTTCCGAGTGAAGGACGCGAAGTGCTGGTGTTGCACTGTGAACCACGTCGACGAAACCGGCGAGCCCTTGCCTTGCGACCGTGATGTCATGCTGAAGTGCATTAGAATCTGGTTTGGAAGCAGTACTGACTTCGAAAGCTTGGTGCAGGGGCATGTGCGGACGACACTGCTTCGACAGCTCACCAGTCCAGCGTACCTATACCAGCAAGTCGTTGTGGCCAGTAGTCCGGTGATGTGGTTGTTCTTGGATCGAGTGGCTTATCTCCTCTCAATTGGTGACGCGAGCATCGCGGTGTCGGTTTTCTTTGATGCATTGGCATGGTGGCTGTTGGCAATACCCAGCATCGTAGTGATAGGTGTTGCGGTGGCTTACAAACTCCGCATGAAGCAAGCACGTTGTGTGCTCGATTTGGTCTTCAGCCTCGCAGTGTTAGTGGTGGCAGCTTGCATTCTTGCGGCATTCGTTGTTGCATACAATTTCATTGACCAGCAAATGAATGCGCTTTCCCTGCAGCGCGAAATATTTGCATTTTTGCGCTCGGCTATCTTTGTCCTTGTATCGGCCATATTTGCCCGCTGCTCTCTCCACCTCTTCTGGAAAGCCAAAAACCGTGCCATTTGTACAGATGCTTCCTGAGATTGTGGCAAGCGTTGCGAGAAGGCGGTGCGCACATAGATTTTTGAAATCTTAAGCCTCCTGACAGCTTTTGGCCCCGCATTGGCATAGTGCACTTAGTGCACCCTATCCCGACCCATCCCCTTCCCCCAACCATCACCCATTTTGCATCCAGAAGCCCGGGGTTGTATTAATATGCGACATGATAATGTTTGGAAAGCTGACTCTCTGCCATCTTTTCGAACTGCCTCTTGGTAGTTCACCCGGGCATTGACACGAGAGACTGCGAACAAGTGCCAGGAGACTTCTCGACCGTCTGTGCTTTTTTTGATGAGTCCGGATCTCCTGCTGCTAGAGCGAAAGCGCATGAAAGCCTCCAGTGCTTTCGGCTGAGCAGTACACAACGCCAAGAACTTGCAACTTGTTTTTATATCCATGGTGCAAAACTGCCTTGGTCCCTTGATCAGATTAGCTTCCGACTGCGCGGTGGCTGCTTGCAATCATTGTCACTGACTCTGTCCCGCAAAGGCTGGACATCTGGCAAAAGGAGAGCATAATAATAAGAAAGTAATAACAATAGTAGTCATAATGTCATAAAAACAATATAGTGATAATACAACAATCCTATAACAATAACAAAGGCGAGCACTTCTGCATCCCATCTGGCACAGCTTTGAACAACTTCGTGAGAAATCCTATGCAGCCTGGGAGGCCGGAACCAAGCTCGCGTCTGCATCGGCAGATGGAATTCTGCGCCTTTGGGAGCCGGGGGGCGGGGGAGCCGGGAGATCGCCGCTTCACAGTCAGTCAGAGTCAGTCATTGTATATGTATATACACATATGTGTATATATGTGTATATGGGTATGTCTCTGTGTGTGTGTGTGCGTGTCTGTATGCACGGAGGAAGGCAGCCGCTGCTGATGTAATCATGCATGCATGCATTCGTGGGCGAAGTCGTGGACGTGCGCATGCATTCATGCATATCATGCACGAGCCTGCACATGCGAGTAAGAGTAGTGTAGATGCGTGTTGGACCGTGTTGATGCCTGAGGCCAGGAGCCGAAATGAATGAATCCTGGTTTCAATCCCAGGTCGAGGCTTCAGGTTCTTTTGACCCGAAGCCCATTCAGTTCTCACCGAAGCAAAACCTCCTCAGACTTAAGGGGGCTGTGGGGTGGCAGGACCCCACCTCTGGCACATGCGGCGATCTGCCACCCGACAGCAGCAGGAGTATCAGTAGCGGTCGTCTTCGTGGCGGAGTAGTGGTGGTAATTAAAGTAATCGTCGTAGTCGGGCATCGCGCATCGCTGTGCCAGTGGCCTACCAAGCTGACATGTCTATCCCTAACCGTGGAGCTTCAAGGCTGGAGGCCACAGAGCCACGCGGCTTCGCCAGCGGCCTGCTCAGCGGCCCGTGCTCACACTCGGTTTGCAGGCTGAGGGCTTCGGTGATCGTTGGCCTACGGATTTGAGCCCCGAGGTTCCAGGCCTGTCGTCCAAACTCCGACCCCTGGATTCGTGAAACGTGTTTGGAGGCCACATATCTGCAGAAACTCAACATGTTCTTACAGCGGTAAAGAAAGTCCTTATGACTGGCCAACGAGGTCGAGTCCCAAGGAACCCTTAGCTCTTCTGCAGTCTGCATCCGAAGACGGGAGTTGTCCGCGAGTGAGAGCCGCAGCCCATACCTGAGGTTGCATTTCCTGGGCTCCCGACGGCGTGCGACTGGCCACCGGCTATCAGGCCTACCCAAAAACCTCAAACCACGTCGAACCCTGGTGTCTTCACTCGACCCATCCCGTGCCCTGCCTGAAGTGTCCAGTGCGAGAACTTAAGGGCGATATACGATTCCCTGTGAAGCGATGCAAACTGCGGAGTACCCAGATGCGAGGCAGATTTCTAGACGATTGCACTTCTGGGCATCATCTAGCTACCTTGCAAGCAACCCAATCTAGAACTGGACGGGTTCGTTGGTTCAGAACGGAGGCCGTGCAGAGCTTTCAGGTTGTTCGATCCCTGATGAATGACGTTGGTTACCGGCGCTGATCCGAAATTTTTCCCCAGTGCGCTCAAAGGTGCAACATGTTTCAGAATCTTGAGGGCCTGTCCTGAATGGCGCGAGCTGAACGTTCCTCGGCCCTTAGACGCCCCAAAGATCCGCAGAAACCCGGAATCCCGGAAGAGGATGGCGAAGTGGTGGTGTGGTATCCTCACGCCGCCTTGGCCACGGTGAGCTGCTCCGGGCATACGAACCAAGTCCGGTATCCCAGGCTTCCTCTGCGTGCTTGTTGTGAATTTGTTGTGTCAGCTGCCTCGGCGTTCAGCAACCCATTATACTGGAATTATAACAAGGAACCCCATGATTTAACGTACTGGTCCCTGAGTTCTTTGTCATGAACCGGAATCGAGTCCGAATTCTTGAAACGGTTCACAGGATGTCGTTTTCGAGCTCGAGTCGTTTGTTCGGCGCGCCAGCCGCCATCCTTTGCTTCTTTTCTGCATCCCTCCAGGAATCGAAGCGGGATGTTTGACACAGAGCACAGGATGTCGTTTTCGAGCTCACATCCTGTGTTCTCCCTCGATTCCGACGATTGAAACAGACCAACAGAAAGTTTTTTGCCAGCTCAAGTCCTGCCTAACTTGCTCATCAGGGCCCCTTGTCGGAAGCGATTCCCGACCCACGTCGTTTGCGCCTTTTCGGGTCCATCCGGGCCAGCCTTCGAGCCTGGACGCTTGACAACGGAGGCAAGGATGCTTAAGCCGTTCGTTTGCTGCGAAAGCAATCGACGGGGACATCCCGAAGCGGAGCAAACGAACCAAAGCGAGGAACCAAGCCTTTTATGCACCCGGAAACGACATCATGTGCTCGATATTGCAGTTGACGTGGCTTTGAGAGGGCTCAAGGAGCAGTGTCGAGTTTCTGTTATTTGTTTTAGTTGGGTAGTGTTCTGTTTTTACGGTGGTGTTGGAAGCCAGCCTCGTGGAACACCACGAACCACCTCGCCAGGAGTGCGCCAGTGTGAGCTCCGCAATGCACAGTTCTGCACTAAAACCGCCCAACACCCAAACGCTGGGGCAATAAGTGGGTTTAAAGTTTTTCCTTGCCTCCAAGGTCAGGTGCATTGCGTGGAGCCCACAAGGCAGGGCCGCAATTGACGGTTTTTGAGCTCCTGTACCATGGATTCGGGATTCGTGTTTGGGTTGGCGTTAAGGTCCGCGCTGGGTCGTGCTCGACGGAACACTGTCAGAGTTTGTATCGAAGCTTGGACTTCTGCTGAGCTGTCCAAGCTCCTCATGAAAGTCCTTGCTGCGGCTCGCGTTGAGAGACTGTTTGCTCGAGTCCCATATTGAGGGGTGGCTGTTTGCATCATCACTTGTAACCTGTGGCCGCAAATATCACCCAAATCGATGAGGCCACGAGCCCCGGTACCCTACCTCCTGAATCAGGCAAGGATTGTGTGGCTTCCGGCTCCCTTGATGGGACGGTGAGGACGGGGGGGAATATGGAGCCATGTTTCCAAAACTGTTTGTCGCCCCCTCTTCCGGGGCGTCACACGGTGTGTCCGATCCAAAGGACAACTTGGCGATTTAATGCAGTTGTCACCCAGCACCCCCCTCGATGCGTGAAGCTGTGGGTTGCACATCCGCTGGTAACTCCAGCCTGCACATGCAAGCATTCGAAGCATGACGCCTTGCGGAGGATATGGGAGCCCAAGAAAGGCTGGGCTTTGTGCATGATGCCTTGGACATCCCTGTGCGCCACGACAACTACAGAGCCGCTGGAACCCTAGTCCTTTTGGAAGAGCGATAAATTAGGTGCAAGAGCTCCCAGTGAGTCCCAGTGAGCAGAAGCCAGCGGAGCAGCGAATCTGCGCTTGGTGCAGGCAAATGCTTGAAGACCTGCCAAGGGGATGGCGGATATGTTGGGTCCTCGGGCCTTCAGACGACGGAGATGCCAACACCGGGGTATTCTTCCAGTTTCAGCAGCCTCAGTACATTGGCGTGTCGACATTGGTCGTTTCTTCCATCACTTTCCGGAGCCTGGAGTTTCTTTGAACTTCTGTCATTGCATGTGCTGTAACACCCAAACCCACCTGCAGCCCTATGGTCATCGCCCAGATCCTGAAATTCAACCGAGCTGTCTCCGAGGTCTACTGTCTCCTTTGGCACCCGGAGGCTGTCTGAACTTGCTCGGCAAACTGCTTCTTATTGGGCCAGTGCTTGGGGGCACAAAGAGGGCTCGCCGACCTCCTGGAAGGCTTGCGACGAATCGCGTTGATGGCTCTTCTGCTCTAACCTTTGCATGTATCGGTCGCCGTTTTTCTCACGAGCAGGAGAAGGCTACATCATCGCGTGATGTTTTACGACCTTTCCGGGCGACGTGGGGTATTAGCCGGTTGCTGAGGGTATAGGAGCTTCGGGCATGTCTGTATGCATATATACGTACAGTATAGTAGAATAGCTATAAAAATGACTATACGCATATAATAGTTACATACATATATATATATATATGTGTATATATATATATATATATGTATACATATATATATATATACACATAGATATACAATATTATACAATATAGGTATGTATCTTTAGGGTTAAATATGTAAGTGAGAATATCATACTATCTGAAGGCCCAAGACACCACTCATTTGGCAGGCCACATCTCTGGCCGCCGGCAGCACAGACGGCATTGCGCGGCTTTTCGATCCGCTCACTGGGACGTGCATCGTGCTCCATGCAGATAGTGGTTGTGAGGGGAAGGTGGAACTTCGCGCTTCAGCCTGGGGGTCTGGCTGTTCAGGATGTGGAGATTGAAATGATCATGTTTCTTGCTGCCTGTTTGCTGGGTACGAAGTGCATCAAAGGTCCCAACGAGCACCATCCCCATCCCACGACTGTGAAGTCAAGAACCGAATTTCTCCAGCAGAAGACTAAGACGATTGTGGCTCACGTGATCAGACAGCGAAGCCCATGGCCCATTCAAGCGCACGAAAGGAACGGCGGTCCAAGCCCTTACTGCAGGTACGTTGGGAGGGCCATGTTGGCCCAATATCTTCCTTGGCCTGGGGACCAGGCGCAGAAGTGGCTTCTGTATAGTCCTAAACTCGAAACCTCACGTCTGGCTTTCAACGGCTTAAGTGATTTTGGGAGGTTTCTGGCACAGGTGAGACCTTGCTTTCTATGGTTTTGTCGGTAGAAGGACTCCACAGGTCTCATTCTGGGCAGAGGACTAAGTCTTGTCAGGGGAAGGCAGTGGCTGCAGCTGAACCACACAAGACTTGCACACCAAGCCAAGGAAGGAGGCCAGAAATCGCAACCCGCAATCTTTGGAGTTTTGCACGTTCATGTTTCATGTTTTTCGGAGATGCCAGAAGACCTTTTCTCCTCCACGGCATTTGTAGGTGCGACGAGTCTGGCCACCGGTTCCCATGATGGCTCTGCCTTCATCTGGGGTGTGGACACGGGTCGGCAGGCTGCGGGCCACGGGTGTAAGTAATGCAGGTCCTCTTGTGGTGCCGTGAGTTAAGAGCTGTGTTACGTATGACCGGGCTTCAGACAGACTGTGCGTGCAGACAGTACAATGAAGTTCGTTTGGAACCGTCTTTCGCCAATCGTTGGCCCAAATCGCCGGTTTCTGGATTCTTTTATGTCGCGACTACGGAAACAATTACAGTGATACCGGTTGCCAAGGATGGGACGCCTGTGAACCCAGAACCTTATGGGGTCCAAGTGTCTCATTTTGAGGGTTTTTTTGAAAGGCCCGAAAGCGGTGGGATCCTGGCATAAGGACTGGGCAACTCTTTACTGCCTCGCAGAGACGAGCTTCAGGTTCCTTGACGACCGGGTCATGCAAATTTTATTGTGTGTAGGGGCGTTTGGAAACAGTGGCTTTCAAAGGTTTCCATGACAGGCACAGTTTCCAAGACCTGATTCCGACAAGACCAGCTGCGTTCTGTAATTTTTTCCTACTCATTCGGGGTGAATACACCCAGAAAGAGACCCCGGCGTGAGCCCACGCTCCTCGAGTCCCTGAATTGCGCTGGCAAGGTTGCCGCCTGCAGCACCCCGGGAAGAGTTCGAACCTCGGGGCCTCGGGGTTTCGTCATGGCATCTCCCAAAGGCGGTACAGTAAGTATGTAGTAGTAGCAGTAGCAGTAGTAGTAGTAGTAGTAGTAGTAGTAGTAGCAGTGGTAGTAGTAGGAGGAGAAGGAGGAGGAGTAGTAGTAGTAGTAGTACGGTAAAGCCGTCAACATCCGTCGACTCAAAGATGTGGCACATTGGACCGTCCCGGGTAGAGGCCGAAGGAGGTGGTTTTTTGTTGAGATGTCTCGAGAGGCTCTCTGGGGAGAGGAACACACTCACGTGTGGTCGTCGTAGCATCCAGCCCGAAGTTCTGTTCCGACTAGCCCAGCTGAAGATAAATTCAGTGGCTGTTCATGTTAGACTCGACTTCTGACTGAGGGTTTCAAGTGGGATGTAGAAGAGCCTTTGGGTTTGTACGTTTCGTAGTCGATTGAGTAGTTGAGTGCGCAACCTTTAAACTTATGGAGTTGATAATGTAACCCGACCATAATTGAAAAGGGTTAGCCTTTTTGGGCAGGACACTCAGCCTCTAAGGTTTCAATGGACTGTTCCAAATGGAATACTGAACTGAGTCTACGAGGAAACTCGGGCCTGAAGACGTAGAAGACCTGCTAATCCATGTTCCGGCCAAGGTTTACACCATTGCTTGGAGGCTGGTTTTGTTGCGGACACATGGGCCTCTGAAGAACTCATCTTTCTAAGTTCTGAGGGGTCGAAAATGTAGGGGTTGTAAGGGTTCTAGCATTAAGGATCCGACTCCCTGGGCACGATGCCCTAGGCTGAAGGGCCCCCTCCACTCGAAGGCCTTTCCAAAAGGCGAATCCTTCGGCTTCATGTCAGGAGACGCTTAGCTATTTCGTAGCACCATACTCTTTGAGAGGACGCTTCTGGAATGTAGCAGTTGAGTTTTCCTACGGTAGCTGTTTAAGGCTCGTTCTCAAGACCCAAGCCGCACATCGAAGCAGGAACGACTCCCAGCGCCCAAGACTGGCCACTGGATCGAGTGATGGCAGCATCTGTATCTTCGATGCCAGCCTCGGAGTCTGCAGCTTGTCAGACTGCGGCTGGGGGATTCCTGGTCATTCCTGGTCTTCGTTTGATGTTGCTAGCTACAACAGAAGCCTGAGTAAGTAGCAGTACTTTCCCATACTACGGTTCATTGAAATAGCCATAGTGCAGGAAACCTTGTTCTGCTTGTTGCACTGTTTATGCCCCTATATGACATGATGATGCTGCTGACGGTAGCAATGAATGAACTACAACACAGTTTTTTGCGAGACAAGCGCTTGGGCAGTGGAAGCAGAGGGTTTTGGCAGTACCGACGCCGTTGGCTGCCAGTGCGCACATTCCATGAACTTGTAGCAGTGAAGCGTGAAACTCTGTGTGCGCTAACCTACGGTTCCAAGTCCGGGGTTGGATTCATGACTCGGCTTCTTCGGATTTCTGCGGACCATCGGCGTTTCCAAAAGAATCCGGCTGCAACAGCCAGGCATGACGCGATTTCAAGGACACTTTGGTGCAGTGCTGCTGGGCGGCCTTCAGCGTTGTATGAGCTCGGGGTCTGGGATTTGTCGGAGTGTGGCAGTGGTTTCAGCCCTAAATTTTGAAGTTCAAGGCTGCGAGAGAGAATTAGACAGTCAAACAGACACAGACGTAAACAAGTGAGCACATGGAAGCTCAAAGACGTTGTGAACCCCGCAATACGTAAAATGTAGACGAATAGACATGCATGCATGTATGCATGTATGTATGTATGTATGTAGGTGCGCATGCAGGTGTAGGAAATATCTATGTATCTATCTATTTTTATGTGTCTCTGTATACATATATATATATACACATACATGTACATACATATATATATATATACACATGTTATATACATATTTGATTGAAATCATTGCTTGTGTCCGTTTGCACAGAATGTCCCCCATGTCTGACTGGGTGTGTGGAATGCTGAGTGATTGCATGCAAGGGCATGTGGTCTAAATGTAAACCAATTCTCAAGGAGAATACTCAGAACTATACATGCTTATAGTTTCACATCCCTATAAGTCATATACGCGTTCGCATGAAGCCTCCAGGGGTTTCAGTCGACCACCAACTATTGCGCAGTCGTCTTCTGCAGTGCATGGCTTCCCATTGGCTCCTGTTGGCTTCAAATTTTGTTGGGATTTCAAGACGTTCATTGTCGTGTTGCGCTAAAGTGTCCGGCCTCAGGCCACCTCGGCGCAAGCCCAGCTACCGACATCACCACCCATGTAGAACCGCCGGAGCCAAAACGTCGCCCTGAGCACTCAGTCTTAGACTCACTACGAAGCCGTGTGCCGCTGAGTGTCCAGTATCCCTCAGCAGGAAGCAACGCAACGGCTTTACAAAATTCCTTGCAGGTTCTCCTTGGCCTGGAGCACCGCGCCCGACGATTCACTTTGTCTAGCCTCCGGCGGCGAGGAGCGGCCTTTCTGATGAGGTTTGGCATTCAGAGTCTGCAGAGAGTCTCTCGAGGTTTGGAGCTGTCTGATATCCTTTCTGGTTGAGAGTTTGAGGCTGTTGGTTTTTGTGACCGCTGCGCTGGGTGAGATGATGATGGTTTTGAGTTCGGGGGAGGTGCGATGCCACCTGCGGAATGAGCTGGGCAGCTCCGTGCTTTGCACTGAAGTTGCGGGTTTGCAGTCGCGACAGCCAGCTTCGCTGCGGCTATTGTCGTCGGAAGTATCTCCGCACCTAAATCTTAAGCCCCCGCCGGCTTACTCGAGTCGTCTTAACTCGACAAACAAAATCTGCTACTCCAGCCCTTGAGTTTCCCTGCTGGGCTTAGGGCCCAGAACCCAATGAGTCTGACCTGGAACCTGAACCCTGATCACCAACCGGAGGACGGGACGGTGCGAGTGTGGGAGGCTGGACTCGACTACTCATCATTGATCACAGGACGGTCAGTTTCGGAAATCATCATAAGAGCCCCGTATCAACCCAGGGGATCGTGTTGGCCGTCCTAAATCTGGCCTTTGAGAACCCTCTAGAAGTCGTTAATGCAGAACATCCTCGATGTAAAGATGATTTCAAGTTTCTGGCAAGCTGCGGCTTTGGAGATTCGGGAGACATTCAAGAAAGCAGTTTGCTGGTCTTATGCTGTCTCTTCATGAAACAGTACAAGTACTGAAAATTATGGGCTCCAGTCTTTGAAGCAGGAACTCCATCCATCCATCCAGCCGGCCAGCCAGATAGCCGGCCAGCCCAGCCAGCCAGCAAACATGCATGCATGCATACATGCATACATATCTCCCAGATGCAACCTGCACACATATCCTGCATGCATGTCGTTGGTGTAGAGTCATACATCCATACATGCATGCATGTGCACAGACGCACGCACACGCACTCCGAACAAACTTACATACAGAAGTTCATACACACATACACATATGTCTAAAGAGAAGGTAGGTGCTTACGTACATACAGAGATATGCGCACACTCATGCGCTCATGCATGCATTGACGCATTCACTGTTACAGCATGCATGCATACATGTCATACATACATGCGTAGAACCGTACATGCGTACACAATGAATACAGATGCCTGCATGCATGCCTGCATGCGTACATACATGCATACATGCATGCATACAATGCACACACATGCTCCATGCAGACAGGCCTGCCTGCCTGCATCATGCATGCATGCAGCGCATGACACGTACGCACATCTATATCTAGATGTGTATATATATATGTGTGCATATATACACACAGACATGAACATGCGTGCATACATACGTGCGTGCAAATGCACATCTGTACATACGTGCATGCGTGCATGCACACACGTGTGCATACTTGCATCCATGCATACATACGCATGTTTACAGGTTTACGGATAAGCAGATGTGTCTTTATGTATGTAATTATATAGGTATGTAGATAGATGTTCGGAGACTATATATGTATCTATGGATGTATGTATGTACGTAGGTTTACAAATACACAGACGTGTTTGTTTACATTCGTATCTATATCTGCATCTATTTGCGTTTCTTTATCTCCAGATACATACTAGACGCGACATGAGCATTTGAGCGGAGGTTGTACTCAGTTCGCAGCTGACCTCGGCCAGGCGCGAGCAGCGCAATGTCTGGCCGTCCACGTCGGTCATGCTGCGGGCGTGGCTTGGCAGCGATCGAGCTCAAGAGCACCACGCGTTAGATGCAGCGGAGAACTCTGTGCGTCAGGGTCGGAGGACGTTGATCTCAGAGGAGGCATCAAGGCAGAGCGGCTTTCCCACCCAAGCATTCGCCCTCCTCAGGCCCACTGGCAGTGCGCACGTTTGTTCGGTGGGTTCGCTGTTTTGCCTTGGGTGAGTCTCTTTGCCTCGCAGTGGCAGCACTGGAGCTTAAGACAGCCAGTGACTTAGCAAGGGTGAGAGCGGGAACTCGACTTCACAGACAAGCCAATTCAACACAGCAAATGCTAAAACGCGTGAATCTTACGGAAGCTTGGCATATTCAACACTTACCGTCTTGAAGCCCGGATTTTCCACCGACCAACAGGTCATCTGTGTACGCTGGTCGCCGAAAGGCAAGCGACCTTCCGGCTGCAAAAGCTCAAGTCGAAGGTTCGGGAGTGTCAAAGTGGTTCGGAGGAGCATGGTAGTCTGGTAATGAGTCTCTTGATGCTCAACTGGGTTCATCGATCCCGGATTCCTACGATTCCTACGGGGCTGAGAAACGGTAGTTGCTTCGTCAGCCAGGCCCCATGCGGGATTGCAATTCGTAGGCGTCACAGGAATCACTGGCAGTAGGGGAAACTGCCCGTATTTCGACCGGTACTTAGTTGCAAACTGCCCATTGTCGTCTTGAAGATCCATAACTTGCTTTCACAGCGAAGTTCTCACATCAAGCAGAGTTTGGTTTTCGAAGGGGGGTATGCAAGGGCACCAACTGCAACAGACCCTCCCGCCGAATTCTCGAGTCCTTGTATGTCTTGGCCAAGGAATTGCATCGGCTTCGGAGGACGGCTTGGCAAAGATCTGGGACATCGCGTAACTCCCGGAGCTCTGAGACGCCAACACAGAGCGATGATGTTGGGGCTTAACAGCCACAGCAAGCGCGGTGTGCGGTTGTGCATGATCGGCCGATATGCTTTCAAGCCCCAAACGAGCCAACAAGCTCCTGGGTACCCCAAAAACGCCAATGTTGCCCAACGAAGGGCTGCAAGCTGTGCCGACAACGAGGACGTTGCCCTTGGATCCCAATCCTTTGATGTTTAGTACATGTGGCGGTTGGTGCTGACAGCAGCCGTGTTGAGTTAGTGCTGTCCCCCTATGCCATTGTCGTCGTCTTTGCGGTTGCATTTGCCGTGGTTGTTGTGACTGTTGTGCTTGTTGTGCTTGTTATGCTTGTGGTTGTTGTTGCTGTTGCTGCTGCTGACAGTGATGTTGATGACGGCGAAGAGATGGTCACGATTCTAAGGCTGGTGGTGGTGGTGGTGGTGGTGAGCACGGATGATGGCAATGTTCAGGATGCTGTTGGCAGTGTTCGAAGGCCGGCCATGGCCGCTATGGATATGACATCTTCGGGCTTCTCAGATCTCCTGTAATGGAGGCTTTCGCTCTCCAGTAGAAGTCGGCTTGACCAGACAAACTCCGAGGGGATGTTGTGATGCATACCGTAACACCCAACATCAGGTGATGGGATCCAGCTTGCATGTCCATGGCACCCGGCAGAAAAAGCGATGGCAACTGGCCTGGGTTGTTTTTGTACCAGAGTTTGTGGCTGCATAGGAGTCTAGGATTCACGTGACGAGTGGCTTTCGGGGGGGCCTTGAGGTCTTCAGTTGGTGCTTGGTTAAAGAGATGAAAGCAGAGGAAGTTGGCATGTGTCGGGGTTGTGAACGGGTTGGGAGATCCGACTTGGGCAGCTTTCCGCTCGCCGTGGTGGCTCAACTCCGCGCCGAGTCTGGGCACCGCAGGTCCCTTTGGGGATGTTGGCGCATGATCGCATGAGGTTCAAGGACGCTGGAATTCCTAGATCCCAGAGTCCTAGATATTCATTATCCACCCTAAATAGCCGCAGATGTCACGGTTGACCCCCGGTGCAGCTGAGCTGTCTCTGAGTCTTCTTCGGTACTTGAGCTCC